TGCAGGACATGTATGCCGATGACAGAAGGGTCTGGAACTGTCTTTTTGAGAATCTGGCCAAAGACCTCGAGGTCATTGAGAGGAATGGCATAAACGCCGCCGTTGGTGGAACATTCTGGCCGATCTTCCTTGGGAACAAGGGTGACTGGAGCTACTTGGCGACTTGACCTATATACAGTATATATTCTTTTGGTTGGAAGTTCGGAAGTGTTTTTTGGGGCGTGCTATGTTTTGTTAATGGCACGAATTCATATTTCTGTGTTACATCTACTTTGGGACGGCATAGTGTAGCAAAGGTGTCGAGCGCAAACCTTCTGCGATCGTATAGACGGGCTCCGAAAGGAGCTGGCACTGCTGGTGATCAAGGAGTGGAGGGTGGCGGGATTTGCCATCTTTGTGAATGTGGACAAGGAATTGACTGGGAAGACCTGTTTCTATCCTTTGCATCAAGACTGTTTTTGTGTGTTTGATTTGGTTTCTGCACATGGTATAGTGCAGTGCGTGATTCCTTCAAGCCATGCACTTCCACAAACTATATGTATAGTGGCGGGTGTCCCACCCAAGACATGTGTTTTCTCAGGAAAGCCGCTGAAGCGGCTATGGAAGAATCTTTTCATCGTGAATTGCCTGTTCCTTGGGACAGGGAATGTGCCCTGACAAGACGACTTTTGGTCGATGGCAGTGTCAATGGCAAATGCAGGTTTCATGTTATTGACCCGTGGCACGTGATGCATCTTGGAATCGGGAAGGCTTGGGTTGCATCCGGGGTCATGATGCTTCAGACCTTGCTACCTGAGAGCACGATTGGTGAGAGGATTGCTTCCTTGGCCGCTGGTTACAGAGCTTTTTGCAAAAGAGAGAAGCTTGACCCGGTGATTCGGCGGGTGGATCTTCACACGTTTGGAGGGACTGCGGAGCCCAACGGGACATGGAACAAGGCTGCTGTTACTAGCAATTTCATGATGTTTCTCGAGGACTTTTGCATGCAACACTCTTCAGCTATAGAGAAAGATCAACCCCTACGAATCTTTGTCCCTAGATTCAATTTTGTGCGCTGGCTTTTGTTGTTCAAATTGTTCGTTGTTCAGAACTTTTTACTTGACCCCAAGCACTGTTTCAGGGATTCGTCTATAGAGACCCCTTGCTTGCTCTGTATAATGAACGTGTGAAAAGAATGAGGCGTATGGAACGAGGAAGGCGAACCAGTTCTTTCGAGGCATTTACGGCAACGACGTATGGATGCCGAGTTCTACCGCTCTTGCTTTAAGCAATGCGCTCTACACCTTTCTCCGAGCGTATATGTATCAAGCGCATCACGCTTGCTCAAAGGGTTTGAAGCACTTTCCGTTGCTGCCAAAGCTTCACTTTCTCCACGAAGTGGCGTTTGAGATGAAGCGACAAGCAGGGATTGCAAGCTATACTTTTAATCCAGCCGTTCATTCGTGTGCACTCGATGAAGATGCTATAGGCCGCGCTGCGGCCGTGACGCGATGTGTATCGCCAAAATTGATCTCATTGAGGACATTACAAAGGTACTTGGCGTACATCCAAATTGCATGGGCTCGCAGCTAAAAAGCCAAAGGATGCTGGAGCTGGGACTGGGAATTGGAGGGCAGGAGGTATAGAGTTGGATGCTTTGTTTTATTGGCCACCGCTTGTCCTTATAGAACCTGTGGTACAGGAAACGTAATGGAGAATGATGGACCTATAGACATTCTTTGGATCAAGAGCGATATATCTAAAAGCATGAAATACTATACATATTAGATTAAAAGCCATGGACGTGAAATACCGTTCATGGACGTGAAAAACCGTAGGCCCACACATATGGACGTAAAGCACCGTACATGGACGTAATTTTGATGAAAAAGTCATAAAAGAAAGCTTTTTGCAACATGGCCAGGAAAAGGTATCTATCCAGGGCAGCAGGTAGTACTGCAAGGCAACTCGGGCAGCATATCTCGCACCAGGGGCCTTGGAAAACGACCATCTTGGAGCTATGTTGAGGCTATGTTGATCCATCCCCGGGTACATGCTGAGCGAGTGACCCGCAAGACAGAACGCTTTGGCGGGATTACTTTGGACCTGGGCAACCGACAAGCCGCAGTAAATGGCCTGCAAGTTCCTGCAAGTGGTCAGACTGTAAGGGATGCTGCTCTGCCTTTGCTCCCAGGCTATGATGGTGGCAGAGCGAGATCGACCCGAGCAGGACTCGCCCAGCGGAGCCCGAGCTCCCGCCGTCCGAGCTCCCGCCGTTGGAGGGCCGGAAGGGCCAAGAGGGCCGCTACGTGGCTGGAGGCTTCGTCACGGCTGATGGCGTGTTCCATGGCTATCTTTGTCTATATGGTCAATCAGATTGTTTGATGATTAGGGCAAATACTGCAACTATCGTTTGTGTTTGTGAGGGTACCGAATCCCATATTGTTTCAACTAGTGCTTGCTTCACGTATGCTTTGCGCCTGCTCTTCATATGCCGATTTGGGTGGCCTGGCTCAGGTACAATCAAGGCCGCACTCGACCTCGCAATCGAGCAGGACGCCAAATCCAAAATGAGCGGGCCATGAGGGAGGCCATTCGCGGATTTCAGAACCTGTCGGAGGTTCAGCTGGCATGGATTGGGAAGGGCCAGAAGGGCAAGCGGTGGTGATAGCAACTCCACGCAAGATCTAGAAGCCAGTTTCGGAGCACGCTTATCATGATCGTTTTCGACAAGCAGCCAGTACTCCCTTATCGCAAAGTGGTCTGGACGGAGAGGAAATTATTGGTCATACACGGATGGATACATTTTGTTCTCCATTTGTTGAGAGTTGGATCAAGCCATTTGCGGTGAGGTTTGCGGCCCGACAATTTGAATGGTGTACAGTCGTGGAGCTTTTCACGAAGCAATTTGAATTCAGGCGTTTGGCTACAGGAGTGGATCAAGCGATTGGTCGCCAGGTTGGAAGGATCTGATTTGAACTGGTCTTTCAGCCGTGGGGCCATGTAGGAACGTTTTGGATGTCACTTTGTGAGGCCTGCGAGCGAGAGCTGGTTAGTGTGAAGACTAGCTTGGCAAGCCAGCATGTGGTGGGTTGTGGCATGCACAGGTACTCCCGAGCGGATACGGGAACCTGATAATGGTAGCACACCACTTGGGTGTCGCTTTATGAATTCGATGAGACGGCATCCAGATGGCCTGGGTGCGGGAGCCAGACTGTTGTGAAAAAACACATTGCAAGGGCAGCGGTATGTATCGAATGATTGGGCCCCTGATTCCCAGGCACTCTCATTCTATGCCTATGGCAATTTTGCAGAGCGCGGGGACCGCTCAAAAAGACCGCCGTGACCTTGGGTGTGAGTTGTGCTTTCTTAGGATCATCAAGAAAACGTGGACTCTCCAGTGCCAGAAAAGCATAGGGAATCAAGTTCCGATCATATCTCGCAAGTGAAACTTTTTGGCTTCAGTTCCAAGTGAGAACCAGTATTGCATGTAAACAAAGAGCATAAGATCTGCATGGTTCAGATGCACTCAATATATCGTCCTTCTACCTCCCACATCCTCAAAAACGCCATGGCGCTGCTCAAGAGAAGCGCGGTGAGGCGCAGCGCTCTGACGTGGTTAGCGTGGCAAAATGTCGTTGGTTCGAACCTTACACCCGCAAGGCTGGTTGCTGGCTAAAGCGACATGGACGAAAGCGACGGCGACAATCGAGATCTTCAACCTCACGTACTTCAAACTCAGGATGATGAGCGCCGACAATATCAGGCGCGGCATGGCGTCTAGTTTTGAGGCTCTTGATTCCCCCATGGAATTGCGACGAGTGCACCGTTTTGGAAAAGGACATTTTGGAAACCAACCATATACGTAAATCTTGCTGAAAGAAGTTTAAGCGCTGAAAGAAATTCAACAGCTTCAGCGCGTCTCGTCAAGTTTGGCAGGTCCTCGCAGAAGATGGTTCGGAGGGGGCAACGGAGCCTGACGAGAGCGAGGAGACATTACAGACTTCTAGGGTGTAGAGCTTAGAACACTCGGAATTCTTCGAAAACGAAACCAGCCAGGGCCCAGCTGTGGAGGAGGCAGAGGCCACAACCAGAAATCTATTGCTAATGTCTGTCGCTGTTGAGCCAGGTAGACGAGGACAACGACGGCTGGGAGCCAGAAGCAGGGCCGCGGCAACAACCCCCCTATATGCTTCTGTCCGGATCCAGACGACCACTGTGTGGGGGGCTCATCCGCATGCATTTCAGTCATTCCAATACGCGCCTACGCCATGACGCCCCCCACGAACTCAGGAGCTCTGTGGGGAGGTGGCCAAGCGCATCGCAATCATCTCCAACAGGAGAGCGTGCTGTGCACTGAGCCGTTAAGATTTGTTGCTCGCTTGATGGAAGCTGACTTAGAAGAATAGCGGACTGCAACGACACGATTCGAGGTTCAGAGTGCGCTCATGAACTTTGACTCGGCGCGGCGAGCGCCCGGAAGAAAAAGCAGCGCCATGCAATCCTTGCGTAGCTTCCAATCCAAGGTAAACGATGCAAAGCTCGTTCGAGAATCTTGAGCCAGGGTATCTCAGCAGAACCAAATTCTAGAGCTCCGGCATCAGGGGCTCAGCGGTATTGTGGACAATGCGGCTTGAAGCGGTCGCATCAAGGGATGTTTTTTGGCGCACATTGCGGAGCACGGCATCACGATGTCTAAGACATCGCCCAAACGGTTTGGGCCAAACCATGTCTCCAACCAGCTGAGCATTGGTTGTGTTCCATCCAATTGAACGAACCATTTGGAACCAGTTGAGGCCCAAAAAAGCCGAACTTTCACAAAATTTCACAATTTTGGCTTAGCCTCACCAGAACCCACCAATGTTCACACCCCGGTTCATTTCCTGTTTTCTTTCCCCAACATCCCAGATGTTCGAACCTCATAGCCAAAAAACAAAACAAATACCATAAGAAAACCACACGGCACAGGGGTCCCGCACTTCTCCTTTCGTCACTGGTGCCGTCGCCGGTGGCCCGACAAGGTGCGGAAGTCGCCTCTGGGCGCAGCTGCACCGCCACCTGTGCCCAGCCCTGCACGGGAGAGTCTGCGGAGCTTTGGTGCCCCACAGGCCAATGAAGCGACGAACTGACGATGATGTGACCCAGATCGGACCACATGGGACTGGAATAGTTAGACCTCCATGTAACCCCCATGACAATCTATGAAAATGACCCCAATGTAGGCAACGATTCCAGTCCCATGGATGGTCTGGGTTCGGTGAAGTTCGGTGACCGTTCGAAGCGAAGTGCGGCGGAAGTTGTGATATGTGACATGTGTGGCGCGTGACATGTGGTGTGGGGTGTTGAAGCTTGGCTGGGTCAGGCGGGAAGGATTTATGTGTGCTTTGATCTACATGGGAGCCAGAGGGATCCAGCTTGCAAGTAAGTGATGCTCAAGATTCAGCCTGATGAGTTGATGTAGACTGTTGATTCAGAACCGCCCTGGTTAGATTGTAAAACCTCTTCATATCGCGTGTTAATCAAGATTCTACATTAAACTTACGTTAAGAATAATTTTCTGATGATCTCTAGCTGCACCCGTGGTTTTCAGGGTCCGGTCTTTTCCCACCGGGTCTACGCTCATGGCAGTGAAGGGTGCAACATCTCCGGCTCGCGCATCCGAACCGTTCCCAATAAAATCCATGAATAGATATTTGTCTTTTATAATTCTTTCTTACTTGTGGGCAGGTGGAACGGCAATACGAAAATATCTTAGGAGAAGAAATTAATAACCTGCCCATATGATAATAAATGAAAGATAGGCAAAATTTTATTATATGAGCTCTTTTAATGGAAAGTTCTGCCATCATGAATAAGAAATATATGTATTTGCTATTTATTTAGCTTTGCTTTCATATCCTTCATACGCTCATTTGAATCTTAAAATAAATAGCAAATACCATGATTAAAATATAGGACTAGCAGTTGACCGGAAATCTCTCATGAATTAAAGATTTCCTCATCCTTTAGGATTATAAAGGTAATAAAAGAAAAACATGAATGAACAACATTAAAATTAATGGTCTCTTTATACTTTTAATGTTGGGAACGAATAGGAAATCGAGGGTGAACAATCTCATAAAGACAACTTACGACATTAAGTAAGACAAAGGGACAGATATTAATTCATGGACAAATCTGTGTCTTTATGTCTTTTATCCAATGGCATTTTTATTTTTAAAATCTGCTAATTAAATGGCAAAAAAATAGAGAATTAGCAATAAGAAAATGCCATTGGTTAATAAATAAAAACCATTAATTATTAATGAAGAAACCTGGAAACAGATCAGGAAAAATAGACCCTTCATTTGTAGAAATAGACGGTGAACAACATTAATAAGATATAAGTTAAAATGACGGGTGACCATATAATGATAAGGAATGAATAAATAAAATAGATTAATATCTTCATGAATTTCATTACCATTAAAATTCATGATAAAGATAAAATATTATAATGATGGTTTACTTTTCATGACTTAAAAGCCATAAAGAAATTCCCTAAAGATAAAAGCCATTGGTAATCTCTTAATATTGGGAGCACATTATGAATTTGAGAATAACTTTATTAAATGTGCTCCCTAAAGATAAAGAAATATATTGATAGATTGATGATTCACCATATTATATTTTATTTTATGTCTTTTATTTAATGGTGAATCATCCATATTATATTTTTATTGTTATTCGCCCATAGAAATATGAATGGGCGAATATTTGTCTATTATTATCTTCCACCGCTATGGCTATTTATTTCTTTATGCTATCGGCCATCTCCTATAATATTAATAATGATGGCCGAATGATATATTATAATATAGAATGCAGGATTTTATCTACTGGAATTTCTCTCATAATAAAATCCTGCCTATCAATAAAGAAAATAAGAAATAATATGGATGATCGCTATAAGATGGGAAATATATTATGAATGAGCGATCACAATAATCAATGAATATTATGTCTTGGCAAATGCCTTAAGTAATTTATGGTTTTTCTGTTGCATTTTGCCCTCGCATTTTAATTATATATAGAGATTTCTAAGCTATTATAATGCGAGTGAAAGCTATTATAATGCGAGTGATGGATTATTAATATTGCAACCTTTTCATTTATATCGGTTGCTCTTATTCTATTATTATCTTAATATGTGGCCCAAAATATTTAAAGAAGATAAGAAATGAATTTATGGCCACCAATTTTACTATAAGTGAACTTACCGATGACTTTCATGCTATTATAAATTAAAGCATGAATTAGAGACAATCACCATTAAGTTATTACTAATAAGAGATTTTCTATGCAATTTAGTGGTGATCACTATTATCTAATTATATTATATTATTTATGGTGGCAGCCTATTGACTTATCGTAATGAAAATCAATGAATTATTAATCGGCTGCCACATCTATATCTTATACATTAATGATTATATTTATCGTATTTTCATCTTTAATATTTAATGTGTGATTTTCTTATATATTTCTTACCTTTTCTATTAATGAAAATCCCACAATAATAATATAATAAGGGCAACCTCAATAAAATAATATACAGTAGAGGTTGCCATTGAACTAATTTAATATGATGATCACTTAAGTTATCTTAATTCCCATAAAATAAAAGTAATTCTATAAGAATTGTCTTCTTCCTATTCGCATTTTATGTTTAAGAGATTTTCATATAATAAAATGCGAATAATAAATAATAATAGTCGATTTTTCCTTTCCTTCCTTTGGGTTCTTGGAAAAATCGTTCATTCTAATATTATATTATTACCTATATTACAATGATGCCAGGTTTAATTCAGGATTAAAAATCCTGGCAGGTTATCGGCTAGTTCACCTTCAGGAACAGATCAACTCACTAAAAATAATTCATGAATATGCATTTTTTTAAATTCGTGTGCCGGCGTACCAAAGAGATCTTAACATTAATGGCATGGCAATTGAAAATAAAGAGCATGGCAATTGAAAATAAAGAAACCCATTAATTAAATTGTATTATGCCATGCCATCATTAAAGTAATGAGCTTCGTCCACGGAGTGAGATTCGGACCTCGGGAGTCAAAGGTCCAGAAGAACCAGCAGACTGTGACTCAGATGACTCAGAGAAATCCATTCCATTCCATTCCCTAGGGTTCCTGAGGGTTCCTGGCCGCCGCCACCCTTCTTTTTCGGTTCGGACTGGGACTGGGGTAGGGTGCAGCCAGGGGGCCCTAGTGATTTTGGGTTTATCAACTGTATACGTGACAGAGCTGGGAAAATGTGTTTCCTTTCTTTTTGTAGTATAGGGATTCACTGCAAGATGGCACATGGAAACAGGTGAAAGTAGATGGCATATTGATCAAAAAAATCGTCGATGCCTTGCAAAACCAAAACCTGCAAAATATGCAGGTTTTCTGCCAACACATGGTTGATTGCCATGATTTCTCATCCACTGATGCCTGAGCCCGATGTGCCATCTTACAGTGCCCAGCAAACCCCCCACATGTGCCATCTTAATGTGCCTGGGTATATGAAATGATCTTTCCTACCAAACCCGCGTGTGCCATCTTAGCATCATTATCATCATGATCATCCTTCGAAGACATGAAGACACAAGCCAAGGATTAAAGTTGGCACATAGCAGCAATTGTTTCTCCCCTTTCCCCTGGCATCTGTGTTCAACCTGGTCTGTACAAACGGCATGAGGGCTCCCTAGATGCAACATCGCAGGTCCTCAAAATTGCATGCTATAGCTCTGTCCATTCCCCTTCTGCTTCTCTCTTCCTCTTTCCTTTGTCTCTTATTCTCTACCGCCCCTTTCTTCTTTTCCTTGCCTTGCTCTTTCCTCTATTCTGATTCCTTTGTCCTTTAAACCTGCTACAGTATCATCTCTTTTTTTCATTTGTTTCCTTTCCCCATGATCACCTGGCATGTGCCATCTTTGTGGTCCACTGCTCCCCTCATATATACTATACCGTTCATTTCAGACCGCCTGTCCTACAACCTCCCTCCATGTGCCATCTTAGTGTGCCCCCGTCACACCCCCCGCGAAGCCTCCCACAACTTGAAGCACAAAATGAAACGGCCATTGTTTTCCATGTGTTCCATTCTTTGGCTATAGTACTGATCACTGTTTCATGTTCTTTTTCTTCCTTGGCTGTCCTTCCTGCTTTGCTTCCTGCCTTGTCCTTCCCTGCACCTTTCATTGATATACCGGCACGGTTTATGTGCTTGCATTGTCTTTCATGATTGTTCTCTGCAGATCATGACAGCCCATGTTTCCTGTACCCCCCCCCTCCCATGTGCCATCTTTATGTTCCACTGCTCCCATGGATTTTCCTGTAATCTCTCCTCCCATGTGCCATCTTTATGTTCCTTTGCTCACTGGTTTTCTTATGGGGTTATATCCTATGTGCCATCTATTAGTTACTGTACCCTTCATATACCCATCATATACCCATCGACGATCTTGCAGATAGTGAACATGGCACAAATGTACACTTTTACTTGTGCCATTCTTGCAGTGAATTCCTATAACTGAATCTACGGGGTTGGGGAATCTTGTGGGGAATGTTTGGTCATGAAACATGCGGTGTCATTTACTATCTTGGAATATCTTCGATGTTCTTTTGGTTTGCGCTTTGTGAAAAAGAGAACCAATTTGAAGTGGTTCCATGGTGACTCCTGGTATTATGAAGATGGCTCTTCCACAAAGTAACCAACCAGCAAGTACATGCAGTGACAGGTGACTCGGCGGGGTGGAGTGATTCGTAGACACCCTGGATTCCAACCACCTATTAGTTTAATAGGCTTCACGAAAAAGGACACATCTTCAAGACAGGTATGAAGTTTGGGAAGATCTTTGGACATTAATCAATTGCACAGAAGACTTGTTTGACTTTGAAGCTATCCGGGGTCTGTGACCGCTAGCTAGAGAAACATCTGAAGGAAACAACACAAATAAACATGGGAAGTGCCGGCCTACCTGGAAGTCAAGCTGAATGAGGAAAGAGAGGCGTCGGACGTAATAGACATACACAGAGGACGGACTTCTCTTAGATGAGACAGAATCCAATCTTGTTAGTGATTTCCATATTGAATCATCTTGATGGTCGTAGGTTCCATCTTTTCAGGGCTCGCCGGTTTGGGAGGCCATACCCTCAGGGTCTCTTTTTACGTACGGCATACCCATGGGCCTCGGCCTTGAACATCGCGGATGTTACGGTCAACCAAGTCCCAGACACGACCAATGGGGCTGGCATATTCACCGCCCCATTGGGGTGGTGACATGCCGGGGTCAACTGATCGGCATATATGACAGACATCGGTCGTGTCTGGGAATGTTGCTTGTGGAAGGGTATGGTGAACGGGTATGAACGGGTACCGTTTTGCCACGTGGCGGTCGCTTCTGGTCGGTTCCACCTGCGGTTCCCGGACACCAGGCAATACGGATCCCTTGCAGCCGCTCATGGGAAAGATGCCCAACTGCCTCACAGAGTGTGACTTCGTCCCCGCAGGCGGTCTGATGGTGACGGAGTGGGATGAATGGAAGATTGTGGATGGAAGGATGTGAGGAGGAAGGATTGGACTGAAGGATTTGAGCCTCTTCTGAAAGGTCCCTGGGATCTGACTTGGGGATGCACTTGGGAACTCCGGTTTCAATCACTTAAATATCGATATCCTAGTTTGTGTTGTTTCAGGGTATGACATGATCCGACGACCTGCGGTCAGTGGCCGGGCGCGGATTCCTTTTGTTCAGTTCCAATCCGTCACCTCCGCCGCTGCTCCGCCGCTCGCTTCCAGGTTCTCATAAGCGACTAGTCGAACTGAGCGACGACCGTCGACCACAGAAGGTCACTGACTTGAGGACCTTGAATGAGGATAGCATTCGGGAAGAACCGATAGCCCGGGGCGATTCAATTGATCTGAATCGAGCATTTCATGCCGAAGTAGCAAGTCATGAATGTTCGCCCCAACACTTGGCCGTGCACCCAGTTGCAACACTCTCACAGCACTCACACTTATATATATAATTCTTTTATTTATAGATGTTTTGTTTGTGTTCATCATGAAAAAGAGACACAGGTTGTTCACAGTTAATGGGCAGTCGAAAGAAGAACGACACATGAATCTCCGACCTCCATCGTCGGGCCGGCCATTGGTGGCTGCCAGGCTATCGGCGCAACACAGCGAAGGAGAGTGGCTGGGTCACTTGAATGCGACCAAGGAGAGATGCCAAGAGGACGAAGAGGGTTGAGGGTGTTGTTATTTTTCTTCTTAGTTGTCATATTGTCTGTGTTTGTGTTTAAGTTGTCGTCGTCGTCGTCGTGGTCGTGGTCGTGATTGTTGTTGTTGTTGTTGCCGCTACGTTAAAAGCTCCTAACATGGAGTCCGCTGGTCAACCGAACCAGTGAACGGCGCTGCGCAACCCTCGAACTTCGCGTGAGAAGAAGAAGAAGTTGCTGTTAGCAAGTATTTCGAGGTTGTTGTTGCTATTAATTCGCTGAACTACTTGCCCTCTGCGTCCCAGAACGTAGACAGGTGTGGGGTTGGGCATGCCGGTGCTTCTTGTGAACACAGCTGTGTGCCAAGCATAAGCAGCACCACATGGCTAAGACCTCCAATGTTTCTTTTGGAAGATTCTACAGGAGGCTTTTGGGCAACGATTTGTGACAGATGACGATGCGCGTCACCATGTCTGCTACCGTTCTTGGGTGCAGTTTTGTTTCTTTTCTGTAAGCGTCAAACTCAGGTTGTGCCCTTGTTGTAGGGTAACCGGAGAAAAACCAACGACTTCATTGTCAGAGTTTGACATGGTTTACGTCGTGAAGCACCATACGACGGTCGTGTCATTTTGCGAGTGAAGAACTCCCCACGACGGTGGTGTTGTAGACCATTGAGCACTCCGCCCGCTGTCGGCGAAAGAACATTCATCGGGGAAGTTCGGGATTGATCTCCCGTTCTTTTCTGTTCAGGATAGGATAAGGAACAAGTGGGTTATATAAGTTGCAGATCCCAGGTGGTGCCTTGTTGGAGGCTGCTGGATGCTACTGGTATAGCTATAGATACAGTAATTACTAAGCTTCCAAAAGACACATCCGGGCGCAAAGACCAGCGATGATGAGGGTTATGGAGGGTGATGGCGAAGAACTCAGCGCTCAGTTGGTGACGGTGGATTTGGGGTTGATGTTCTTAAAATATTATGTTTTCCATAAATCGCCATTGATTCAATGGGTTGAATCCCCAACAACCATTGTTTGACTAAACAGCAAAAACAATAGCTCTATATAGATGGTCTTTGAAGGCCAGGGCTATTTTCCATCAAGTGCATTCTGTGTTGGTCTCCACCGAATCCACAGAACCGAAATCCGAGGTCCAAGCTATGGATTTTGGCGCAAAAAACCGACCATTCGGCGAAAAAAAGAGACCTCCAACAGGCGAAGCAATGGTGACAACACAAACCTTTCCCCCAAGGAATGTGGCCTTGGATACACCGGCGAAGCAGAAGTCTACTGCCTGCCCTCAGGCAGGGTGGTGAGCACACGTGAGTACATGCTGTTCAAGTGGCTGGTGATGGACTCGCATCGATGGACTAGCGTTTCAGCCTGAACGGCGGACTCAGCAGCATGCAGCATGACCCCAATGGGATCCACTGAGCCATGTGAAGGAAGAGAGCCATATCCCCAACTCCCGGACATTCACCAGATGAGTGTGGCTTCAGTCACTCATGTGGATCTCAAAAGATCCAAGTGATCTCTACTAGTATCTCTACTATATAGTGCCCAGAGTCGTCTCATGGCTTCCAGTCAGGTGAGAAGTGTCCGGTCCAAAAGAGTCTTCCTCTCCCTTCACTCGATCTTGACAGTTGGTCACGAGACACGAGAAGAACGACCTGTGGCGCCTGTGGGGCGGGGCATGTTTTTCATTTGGCCCCTTTTTTGGCGTCGGCGTTTGTGGTTCTCCTTTGGGTGTGAACCATCCCCAATGTCTTCAACAACATGTCACCCATGTGTTCACCCAAAGCGACACCTGCGTGTTTCACCGCCGCGATGTCCAAGCGTGCTGCGCAGCTGCTCACTCTGAACCGAAAAAAAAGAAAACAGTTCCTCCAGTCCACCAGTCCAGCTGCAGGGCCTGGGCGGGTGTGCGAGACTGAGATCCTCTTGCAGGGCTGCACGGCCGCTCGGGCACCGATCGGCCAGCCCGGTCGGCCCGGTCGGGTGTGGCCACCGAGAGAACGGTGAAGGGTGAGAGTCAGTCCCAGACACGACCGATGTCTGTCATTGCCGATCAGTTGACCCCGGCATGTCACCACCCCAATGGCGCCGGTGAATACTATGCCAGTCCCAGACTGGTCGTGTTTGGGACTGCGTCAACTCTTCGAGCCGCGGAATTCAGACCGGGCTGGGCGGAACTTGTCGATCCGTCTAGCTGTGGGCAGACTGGTGTGGGAAGGGTTTAAGGGGCTGGAATCACTTAGACTTGGACACGGGGACAGCGGGGCAGTGGGACAGATCGCTCTTGAGTCTTAAACCATCACCACTGCCTTGGTCTGCAAGCTGGCTGGAAGCCTGGGGCCGCTAGGGGTAGGCACTTGGCACTTCTCAGCTCAATGATTGTGAGGCATAAGCAGCCTTAAATCAATCCCTAGGGATCCACATACCTTCCCAGAAAGTGAGCAGGGAGACTCTTTTGATGCTTCGGCGACCCGATCACGGTACCTGAGAGGGTCGGATCCATGGATCCGTGGATCAATTGTGCTTGGAATCCTAGTGTAGACTGATGAAGAACTCCCCAAGCCGATGTAAAACCGGAGACTGACAGGGGATCTGATGAAGAACTCCCCAAGCCTATAGACTGATGATTATTGATGTAAAACCGGAGACAGGGGATCTGATTCTTCAACAGTCTACATGAGCCTCAAAATACGGCTTGCAGCTGCAGCATGCGTCATGCTTCATGCAGAAAGGGACCCTGCCCTAAGAACTCAGCTAGGATCCTCTTGAAGACAATGCAAAGTCCAGAACCGGTTTTCATGATTCATTTTGGGTTTGTCCTGTTACCTGTAACAGTCAGTAAACAATTATCACTCTTTTAAAGAAAGGTCTTTAGTAACCATCAACATCCACTGATGCTGGTAATGGGATAGACCCAAGATTCATTCACCAGAGCGGCCCTAACTCCAAAAACCGGAGTCAGCCCTTCCGTCGCATACTCCAGCGCGCTTGAGGAGATGGTGCCTTGCGGCCCTGGTGGCTTGGTTCTGGATTAGAGACACAGTGAGTCAGCGAGCCATCCTTGGGGTCGGCAGGTGGCATCCTCTGATTGTGGGCCCACGACTACTTCTTTGAATACCTGGTATTGGGGATTCAAGCCTCAGTAATAGCTGATCCAGCAAACCAATAGCCTCAGCCATAGGCAGTTTGGGTCAACCATTGTTCCTTGTTTGGCAAAACATCCTCAGTAATTCAAACAATGGTTGTTGGGGATTCAAGCCATTAAGTCAATTGTGTGGTAGGGAAATTACAGCCTCAGCCAAAATGCACAGGCACTGCACCTACATAGGAGAGCTCGAGAGGATAGTTTGAGAGGATAGTAGATTGTGCCAGGAGTCTCAAAGTACTTCAGAAAATGGGTACAAGTACCTGTTTTTATAGGGTCATATACCATTTTCTAAGGTACTTGAAGTCAGGTCCAGGTGGATAGGGAACTGAGAAGTTCAAGAACCTTCGACCCAGTGCGATTCAGAGGAAACCCTTGTGTCACGTCGACCACCCATCACCCAAGCACACCAGCACACCCCCAACCCTTGTGCTGTCACACCGTGGCGGGTCCGCCGGTCACCATGCACCACGAGGGAACTTCGACCCGTGCCACTATGACCTGAGCGACTGCCTGTCGGTGCCAAGGAGACGGATTTCGCTCCGAAGACCTCGCTCTCGGTGGGGAGGTCTGAGGTCTTCGGTCCGTGGAGGTCGGTCTCCGTGGAGTCCGGGGCGTTGAAAAGTAAACCCGACTTGGCACGTGTGATGTGTGATGTTCTGAAAGTGTGGAGACTTTCTCAGACTGGTTGAGCAGAAAGATTTAGAGTTTTGGGAGCACTGAGCACCTCATCAAAGCTCTGATGGGCCTGATTGGTGTGACATGTTTGGAGGCAGTGCGGAGAAGTTCGACTTGCGTTGCTTGTGGCATACAGTCGATGACATGGGAGCAATCCTCGGCTGGTGAAGGTAAGGGGACTATATATAACTATATAGAACTGATGGCTACATATGGCTACCCTTCCTGAGAACAAATCATGGTTACGTGGATGGCACGGTCCTCCCATCAGAGAAGCGAAGGTCCAAGGAGTTCAGATGCCATCCGAAGTGAGGGGTCAGGGCAGCCCTTCAGGGCCCTCTTGAGGGGTCAGATGCATTCAGATGCATATAACCTTCAGAGTCCAAAATCATGTTTTGGAATGCTTGATTTGGTGTAAAACCATGTAAACAAAAACCTATCCTATTGTAAAACGAGGGTTCTTCAGTAAAGATGTCTAGATCCATTATACAGATCAATGGTGGTTGCATGGAAGATCTAGCTGTCTTACTATATACCCCACCCCGCGACCGGGATGCCATTGGAGTGACGCTTCAGCCAGGGGAAGCAGCTGCACCATCCACTGTGCCGCGCCCTTCTCGGGGCCTTCCTTCAATGCCACCTGCCCCAGTCGCAACACGCGGGCACGGGCATCCCAGAATACTTCGAGTGTCGTCGACCGGGTGGCAAGGTCAGGTGGCAAAGACAGCGGTTTGGCCTTTTGATGGGAAAATAAAGGCATATATAGAGGCTGCGGGTATACGGTATACGGATATGCTATCCCAATGAGATGTCTGCCAATGTAATGTGATTTGGTTAATCTATAGTTTTAAAGTGTATAATCAAGGAACCTGGGAGTTTCAAGGTGCAGGTCCATGTTTCGGAAACAAGCATGGTGCATCAGTTTTTCAGAACATGCTCCAGAACGCCCATAGGCCCGTTGTGAATCCTGAGGGTGGTCATTCTATAGGTCTAGTGCTGCTTAGACTAGGAGTTAGTCTTGCTTTGGTGTGGTGTGCTCAGCATGCTTTCAGATCAAACAAGCTACTCCAGGGCTGGCGGGGTTCGGCCGAGACGGCTTGGAGGGGACGTCCTGGGTGACGAGAGCTCGTGTCAGAGCGGCTCACGGGCCGGGCTGGGTCAGGTTCATCGAAGGAAGCTGAAGAGCCTGAGAATGGTGGACGCTTGATTCATTGTACGTATTTCAACCCACCAAAAGATGAAGTTTTACAATCCAAACGAGGGTTTTTATCCTATAGTCTATACAAGTGAGTCTACAAGTGAGTCTTTCACAATGTTTCAGTCTAGGCACCCTACTTGTGAAAGGGTATGGTGTTGAGGAAACCTCTTGGCGGTTGCTGTGTTTACTGTGCTTGGGACTGACAAGAGTCACGCGTGGTCCAGGACCCCAGGGCCATGAATTCGGATTGAGAGAAAACACGTCGGAGCAATGGCTTTTTCAGGTTGAAGGCACTTCTGCGTCTTTGCTTGAAGGTGATCTCTCTTTGTTTTTCTCTTACATTGGGTGAATCCAATGTGAATCCCTTTCTGGATAAGATGGCTTTTCTTTTTTTTGTGGTAGCAGGACAGCAAATCTGATGCGTCTCTTTACGGGGGATCTCGGCTGATGGAACAGCTCTCCGCGAGTCAACGCACCCGAAAAAGCTCTCCTGGCCTACCTCCGTTTCGAAGGTGGTTCGGGTGGATTAGAAAGATCTGATCTACCTTCTGAGGAGGGTGGTTGGAGCCATATAGGATCCTATAAGAAGATGTTGCGACCCTTTCGCCCTCGTCGCCGTTCACCACCGTGACGGGTCCGCAGGTGAACGACGGTCTGGTTTGGGAGGCGGACAGCTGCCGCATTGCCGAATGTCCCGATCCCAACATCACCAATGAAACCTCGGTGGTGACCTGGCAGACCTGGGCATGAAACCTCGTGTGTGGGGCTATCATCGCTTGAAAAAGCTGGTGGTTCTTTTGTTGTGTTCAAGTCAGAGACTCCAACCAAGTGGTCTTTCTTTTTGTCCGTCTTCTACTGCCCAAAAGTCTTCTGTGGATCATACCGAACCTGAAAAGGTCATTGAAGTCTTCTTTTATGTAAGCTTGGAGGGTCCAAGTACCTTCTAAGAAGGTATGTGGATCCTCAGGGGTTGTACTCTCACCCTCATCACCCACATCTGGAAGACACCAGGTTTCCGTAGGAATGAACGGCGACCGCAGCCAGTCGCCGTGAAAATTCCAGGGTGACTGGTTGCGCTTACCACACCTAGAAGCCACTTGACTCCCTAATTTTGTTGGTTGTTTGCCGATTTTTGCTGATTCACGAAAAGTCACTCAGGTTCTAGGTACACTACGACATCACTTACGACATCATAGTATTTTGATGGATTTTGGCCTAGCCATGGCGTGTTTTCGTTGGGTGTTTTGGCACGAGTACTCGTCCTGATATCGAGAGAAACACACTTTATTGCATCCGAATTCTTTTGCCATTGGACAGTTGATGCCAGTGGAAGCTTGTCTCTCGCCCTCCCACTTGATGTTCCCAAAACCCAGACACTCCATGAGACTGGCACATTAACCTAAACCCTTCTCTAGTCGACTTGTACGTACCTTAGGAAATGGGGCCCCAGCCGTATCTGTTTTTTGGTTCGGGTCATGGCATATCCCAAAAAACTCTAGAGGACGAACGAAGTCGGGCCTAGGGGCGGCATTGGAGATAGAAGGCATGAGGGCGGCAGTGAAACTCCAGTCCCATGCGGAGTGGATCGATGGTATTCGACCCATAACGGTCATTCGACCGGCATGACCCATGCCCAGACACTCCATGTATGACCCATGCATATACCTATATACGCACTCTTTGGGTGGTTTCCGGGGTCAATGAATGTCATTCCATGACCTTTTGGTGGTTTTATGTTCTCGGTTTCTTCATGCTGGCTGCGGTGGGATGACCATGACCCGGACCCACACACTCTACAGATAAAATATGAATAATATGATAAAATTACAATTCGGTAGATTGAGGGTGTCAAGTGGTGACATGGTCCAGCTTTTGCCCATGAAACGGCGACATCTTGATCCAAGAAATCAGTTCAGGTCCGCATTCCAAATCCAACCAACAATAGGATTGAATCCCATTTCATCTCAGGACATGAGCCCCCACTACCCGAACCCAGATGTACTGATTGGCTCGCTGCCCCGTGTGATGTCTAAACTGTTCTTTTTCCAGTTTGAGAAGCTTAAATCTTCGAAAACCGAGTTTGGTGACACATCTGGTGACTGAACCGGCCATGTGTGGCCCAAGTCCAGTAAAATGAGATTCTTGACCTGTAGGGCAGGGATCAATTCACGTGCTGGAGTTGACCACCCCTGGTATTTTCGGGAAATCCTTGTCTTCTAAACCCCGCAAAACGGGCAAGTTCAACAAACCTTTCAACAGAAGTATTTCTTGGGTGAAACGCGCACAAGATCATACAAGCCCTCCTGGTGCTAAGAGTCAACCAGAGCTACAGCCCTCCTCGATCGACTGGAGCTCCGATGCGTCACTCCGTCCCGAGGAGTTCGACGCCCACGGCCGCGTCCAGTGCCGCAGTGGCTTCGCGGGTGTGCCGCAGCGGCAGTGCGCCGGCGTGGGCCGCGAGTGCCGCGCCGAGGCGCCAGGGTAGGAAGGGAGGGGGGGGCCCGGTTTGGATGGTGTTGGGAGGTCAGTGGTGAAGTTGAGAAGAATTTGGTGGAAAACATGGGAAGGACTCTCATAGGGGTTCTTGATCATTCTTGATGATACCTTTTTGGCATGGACAAGGCTTTATATAGGTTAGTACTCCACTGGGAGTACGGTTTGAAGGACTATATACCCTGGACCCTTTGTTCATTCTCTAGGTAACCAAATTGTAAGGTACGTACTGAGACTCCGGTAGTTAGTTTGGGAGTGTCATTGGTTTCTACTTCAGTCAGTCTTTGGTTGATTTGCCCACTTGGGGGATATGCAATCCTTCTGAAGCGGCGTTGACCATGAAGCCAGGTTGGACATTCTGCCAGGTTCCCCAGGAGGAACCCTTTCGTTATTGGTTGATTGGATCAGAGGATTGGAGTGGGTTGTCTCTCATTGGCCCAAGGGGGGTGGCATCATAAGGGTGCATTGTTTCAGGATTTTACCATCGAAGAGCCGAACCTTTTAAACGATGAAACAAAGATAAACGCCTCAAACATCCTCAAATATCCTCACTGGTTCTCTCTCGCGGATTTGTGATACCCTTGGGGAGATACCAAGTTCGCACTGACCAACCTGACCTCAAAGCGTTGAGGCGCAACATGTGCACAAGGCACACCAACCCCAGTTGTGGAGAGAAATCAATCGAACTCATGTCAAATCAAGCAGCGACCGTGGTGACCCCTGCGAAGCCGGTTTGCGAGTGTTGCATGTGTTTGGGGCCACACTCAGACATGGACTCCATGCTCGGAACTCGACGCCTATATGTCCGTCCTCTGAAACATGTATAAATTGGGTCTGTCCTATTACCTAGTAGCAGTCGGTAAACAAGTATCACGATGCTATGTTTGAGACAGGCCCTTTACTAACCATCACCTTCATTCACTGTTACTGGTAATAGGAAAGACCCAATGTATTAACATCATGTCTCGTTTGCAAATATCAGGTATTTGTTTGCGCAGACAGTTGCACCCTAGGTGTTGGAAGGTGTTGGAAGGCCGGGCTAGGGTCAACATATTATGTTGTAATATGTTTTATGTTATACCCAGGCACTGGGACTGGCATCGTTACCTGCATTCACCCCTTTTCAACCAGCCCAATAATGAAAATATGCCAGTCCCATTAGTCGTGTCTGGGTTATATGGAGGGGTCTGAGACAATTATAAACCGTATGCTTTGACACCTGAACCATAACGGTGTCCGTCCCAAGAACTGCTAAATAGCCATAACTATCCATCACCATAAAACCAATAGTCACAATGCTTTGACTCGGTGACCTGCACGGACCCGGTAAGGTACCGGTAGGAGGTACCTGGACCTGGACCCGCACTTCGACCCGCACTTCGAACCGCTCGTGCGGATCTCGAGAGGTTCGACCGAAAAAACAGGTACGACTATACATCCCCTATAGGGCTCCGAACGCCCCATCTCCTCAGGTTCGGTTAGACCGGTTAGACCCCCCTGGCTCCCACCCCTGGCCCATCGAACCGAAACGAATGTGGGCCAGGAGTCCTATAGGAATACTTGTACCATCTTGTACCCATCTTTTGGAGATACGAACTGAGACTCCAGGTACCAAAGATAGATCGATTGTATACAGAATACATAACCCCTCCTTTGCAACGTCTCCACGTCTCCTCGCCAGGCCATCTTCTTGGGTTGCGAGCCCATCGTCTCCTGTGGATCTCCGATTTTGGACGCTTGACGTGGGTTTTTCCGGGGGCCTCGTGCCGTTTTTGTCCCCGCAGGTGGACGCTTTTCAAGCACCCTTTTTTGGGGGACCCTGCACCCTGCGCCCATGATTTCTTCGATGGTTTGTGTCGTTTTTATCATATGGGATCCTTGTAGGATTGGCCAGTGACAGAAGAATCATTCAGATAAATTTTCCCAAACACTCATTGGACCCTGGGAACCAGGTTTTAGAGCGATCCACGCTGGCGCTTTTTCGCTCTGGACGCCTGGCCGTCTCGCCCCACATGCTGAAAACATAAACCAAGTCGATCTAGGCTGCGAGCATGAAGAACCGGTCAAGCACAGAACTCAGTTAATGGTTGAATGGAAGCGCGATTATAACATGTCTGCATTCGTTGAACACGATTTAGGCCTTTTTGAGAGCCCGAATAAAATGTGATTCCCCGATTGAACATTTGTTGGGCCTGCGTTTGCCCATGTCAGAGCCATACCCGAACTTGTGATACGAGAGAAGTATCAACAGATCGAACCCCAACATGAAAGACATTTTTGATAGAACAGAACTTCTCAAAAAGGATTCATGGCCCACCATTGTGTTTAATGATGATGGTGGTTGAACATCTAAACAACCATGGTTCTAATACCAAGGATTTTTGGACACTGTTTGACTACAACAACACCAGCCAAAAAAAGCAAAAGCATGCACAAGTAGCCATAGCTGTTTTTTTCATGGTTTTGGAAGGCTGTTTGGGCAGATAGAGGTTTCAAACTCTGTGAGTTCAGGCGACCGTGTTCCGACCGAATTCTTGGCGCATCGCGAGCATCGCCTCGATCGGGTCGATGTGAGCTGCCTTATTTTCGGGGAAGGACGGTGACTTGGACCGATCGAAGGGAGGATCTATTGGGAAAAGCGTCCCGTGTTCCCAGACGTCGTTTGACAAACATTCACGCATATTAAAGAATATGAAAGCATATATAAAGCATCATTTAAAGTGACATATGTTTTCTTTCAGATTCTCTACGAGCCTTCCCGGCAAAGCCGGTCGCCCATGCCCCCCGATGCTCACTGCCGAGGACTTCTGTCGCCATGAAGAGGCCTGTCAGTCCACGCTGCCAGGCGGGGCTGAAAGGGAGGCAGGAGGTGGTCCACGGAATGCGTGCGCTGCCGGATGTCACGGAGGACAGGACTGCCGACCACCTCTCAGCGCGAGTGACTTGGGCCCACCCGAGAGGAACTGATGTCGTCCGGCGGACATCGGCTGAAGTCGGCAAAGGCCCGAGTTCAGCCGACGTTCTTCTGTAGGAGACAAGCCAGATGGAGATCTTCTCCGCCTTTCCAATCATGCTCGCCTTTCCAATCCAAGGGAAGCCCGGAGCATATAGGATCGTGTACTTGAGCGCCTCAAGTTGGAGCTTGCTGTGCATGTGCCGGAGCACAAGGTGACGCATCTGCATACTGACTGGCGGCTTCGGGAACGGCGCAGGCTTGGCTAATAGTTTTCCCAGATAGTCATGTCAAGGGTGGCCTGGAACACGTATATGCAGAAATTTGCGAAAGAAGCAGCATCGGCTTCGCTGTGAATTCATAGAACCTCATGCTTGCCCACGCCCCTCGAATACCTTGACACCGACAAGGCCGGCCGCTTTGTTGCGGGTTGGTACGATGCTCCCTGGGCGCTCAAGTCGCCTTCCATATACAAAATCAACCTGTGTCTGGTTTGGCAGGTTGAGACAAAGAGCAGCAGAGGCCAGGGAGGCGAAGAAGGCGAAGGCCTTCCTTGCTCTTGAACTTCTCTGAGAGTTTGCACAATTAGATGCATACAATTGGATGCTTCGGATGATGTGCTAGCTCTGCCCGCCAGCGGCGGTCAGGACGAGGGCGCACCAGGCTGTGTGGGGGGCATTCAGGAGCCAGAGTTGCGTCCTCGTTCATTGCAACTCTGGATATCATAAAGCTCCTCAATTCGTGGCATCTCTGAAGTTTGTCTTCGACAAGGTCGATTGGAAAACGGCAGTGTCTTGGCCAAGCTGAGTTGCTTATGTTGTTTGAATATTCTTTATAGTTCAGTGTGTCTCTAGGCTTATTCGTTCTTGGACTTGGACTCTTTGCGCCTGAGAGTTTCAGCAATTGGCAGAAGTCTCGAGCGAAGAGCGGCGTTTTTGCATCATGATGCTGTCTTTGGAAGTGCTCTTGCTGCGAATCGCCTGGGCAGGGCTACAAGATTTCGTGGCAGGTGCAGTACTTTGTGGTTATTGAAGTGATGTGCAGATTTCGTGTACTCAGACATCTCTCCCGGCGAACCTGGTTTGTGATCCTCCACACCACCATCACCACCACCATCACCACCATCCCAAACAACCAAAGCGGTCATTGGATCTTGGACTTGTCAAAAATTGTTTTGCAGTCTCACTGCTGCAACTTGCAGCTTCCCTTCAAAGCTGCCTTTGGACTCCTGCCTATGTTGATCTCACGAATGATGCTTGGAAACCTTATAAGATCCGAGTCGAAGCGCCGAATTAGAACATACAATGCTGATGTGTTTCCGGAGAAAAGGGAAATCGCCAATGCGATGTTGTTTCAGCATGCGATGATGTGCGAAGCGGTTGAGGATACGTCGGAAATGTAATTTAAAGGCAATGTGCTTATATTTCCATGAGCAGGGATGGGCTTGCAAAAGTTTGTTCATTGATTGCGCCTGTGCTCTTAGTTCTGGTCTCAGAAGTTTTGCAATTCCAGTAAGTCATCTGGCGTTTTCGACTGGGGGCTGCCATGTCAAGCTCTCCGGCGCTTGCCGCTATTGCCGAAGAGAGCCATCTAAAGGCAGCAGAAACGCCACGCATGCGAAGACAGTGGTGCTGTGTGCCGAGCTCAGTGAGTGCAGATTTGCATTAGGTTGCTTAGAGCGCTTGAATGAGCGCTGGGCTTATCGTTGTGGTTGATTAGAGTTCTATGGGCTTGCTTGTTTGCTCGCCTAAGTCGCTGGAGCCCGAGGGGTTTATTCGGCGGTGTGCGGTTCATTCGCTGCTACGATCGAGGTCTTCGAACGACTGCGCAGGCAAAAACAACATGACCTAAAGTTCTTGGATCCACCCCTAGACCTAGGCCTCCACTTCTTTACAACCCTAGATGCCCAGAAGTCTTATATAAATCTCTTTTTGGATCTCGAGGCCTCTAACCTCTGGACCTCTAGATCTCTAGGCCTCTACATCTCTAGAACTCAAGATCTGTCTTCTGGTCCTCAAGACCTCTAGACTATAGACTTCTTCACATCTCTGTCTCCACCACACTTGCGCACTCCAGACCTCCTCCAGACCTTTAGATCCCTCTGAATGTCTGGCGTTTGGATCATTCTAAACATCTAGATCTCTAGACCTCGGTCTTGGCCCTGGACTTCTAGATCTCTGGATCTCAAGACCTCTAGACCGCTGGACCTCTAGACCTCTCTGGCACCCAATACGTCTAGATCTCTAGACCTTCTGCTTCTACACCTCAGACCTTAGACCTCTAGACCTCAAAACACTGTTTGGGATCTGTTGCCGGGATCCTTTTTTCAGATGTTTGCATGATTAAATTTTACTTGGGCATCGGGGATGATGAATTCCACTGCCCAGGGAAAAAATTAAAGTTGTTGGCCCACGCCCCGAAAGCCAAACATCAAGTTCTGGGCCGCACGCAAAACTGGCCGAAAGAGTGCCAAAGGCCAATGTCGAATGTCAGGGAAATTTGTGGATCAGCTGCTCAAAAAGGACTGTGACCCGTAGTTGGAGTATAGCTGAAGTCACCAAGCAGGCCTTTGGTTTGGTCCGACTCAATGATAGCGACTGAAAGAATATGAGAGAATGACCTTCCCACTATAGTCACTATAGATTCAAACCATGGCCTGATCCCCTTACTACACACCAGACACTTTGGGGGGCACTGGGGTCCTCCCTACGTTGCACCAGAACAGGTGGAAAGTTCAGTGAACCGCAACTGACGGAGTCAGCCTTGTGGTAGGTCTCTTGGATTCGCCGAAAGCGGCTTGAAGCATGACGTTGGTGTTCTGGGTTCTGCGTCGGGCTGAAGTGTCAGACTCCCTTGTTTGGAAGGGATTTGGTCCAGGGACTGGACTGGGCCTGGCTGCTTGGAGTGTGCCAGGGAGCTTTGTCGGCTTTGGGAGTGCCAGAATGTCACTGAGACTGGAAATGGCTGTGCCATCCGCCATCCAAAACGATTGAAGGACTTAGGAACAGTGTTTAAACCTGAGCATCTTTGCATCGGGCCTGCTCTGGATGGTGGTGTGGATGACTTGGATTGACACCAAGACACTTGCTTCGACTCATCCCATCTGGGAATCTCCTGGAATCCCAGTTCAAACCTCTCAAAATATCTCAAACATCTCGAGTTGAAATCTGGATGTTACAGTAGCCTTCACTGTAATTAGATCTAATGAGTCGACGCGTCCACGGCCCCAAATAGGAGCAAAGACCTCACATTAAAGACCGTCATCGAGTTTTGGAAGGAGGGAGATAAGGGATCAAGGTGGCTACTGAGTTGGTATGTCAACTATGGCAACTGTCACTTGTCCCGGACTTATCCTGACATCTTCCTTTCGTCCTGGAGGGTTCAGCCTAGAAAGGAAACCGTTGAGGTCACCGGGATTGGGTCTTTCTACTTCCGGAAGTGCTTTGCCAAAAAACAGAAGTTGAATCGATGACCGATCTTCTTCAGTCATTTGAACTCCAAAGCCTTCGATCGATTGTTCCCTCTACGAAGCACGAACTCCCAACTTTTGTGGCCCAGAATTGTGGCAGCCCATGGGTACCGGAGTTGCTCGAAGCAGGCGCTGACTGCGTGGTACCCTGCAAGTATCCCTTCTACGGCGTCGGCATGCTGGCCAGCTGTCCGGAGCTCCTCTGGCGGGGGCGGCGAAGTTTCTTCCAACCCGGATTTGGAGAGGATTTTTGGTTGTGAAAACGCTATCTATCCATTACCACTAGGTGGTTGGATTATTTTGGGGTTTAGGGGTGAACAGAGTTGGAAAAAGAACAGAGTTTTCGCGGTTCACCAGACCTAGTATACGTCGGTGAAACACCGATTCTTTTGCCCTTTTGGTGTTACGATGGGTCCAGTGTTTGGTTTGTTTCAGCTAGGTCTGAACACTTGTCAGATTGGAGATCTGGAGGCTGGTTGGGAAGGACTTGAGATGCTCACTCCTTTGGAGCTGCAGATGGGTCAGGGCACCAGACATGTTCCCTCCATGGCACGGTCCATGGTCCGTCGCGCCTTGGAGGTGAGGTGCCTTCGGATTGTTCGCACTTTCAACCTGACTCACTTGGGATGAGCAGACACCCACTCACTCAGATTGTTCGTTCATGAGTTGAACCCACCAACCAGCGTGACGTGACGTGAAAAACCACCAGCAAGTGGATCCAGATACCTCCTCAAATGCTCATGATTCTACTGCTTGCTGGAAGGGCTCACATCAAAAAAAAGGTGCTGACACAGGGAGAGCACCCCCCAGGTGTTGGCACTGCAAGTGTACGACATGCGCGGGGATTTTGTTGGTTTTCTTGGGGTGGGCGGAATTGGATAGTTTTGCTCTGCAGGGATGTTTGAATCACGTGGCTCTGCAAAAGCTTGATTGGAGGTCATGGTTTGCATTTTTTAAAAAATCCACGTCAGGCATAGTGGCATAGTTTGTTATATCATAACTCACTGTTTTCAGATATCTATATAGAAACTGATTGGCCTCTACTTTGGACCACCACCCACTCAAAAAGACGGTGCTTTTTTTCCCCCTAGCAAAGCACAGTTCGGAACTGGGCTATGCTGCTATGGGTATAGCAGAGGGCACCTGCTTGCCAGACCCCCCCCCAAAAAGGACCACCTGCTAGCCAGGGCCCAGGGCGTGTGCTTTCTCTCCAGGTTCACAATGAAGTCAAGGGCTACAAACTTTAGTAGCCGATGCCTTAATTACCTTCTCCAATCCATTCAAAGAGCATCCTCCCTTCTCCGTCCTCCTCCGAGGAAGACACCGTTTTTGTAACTCTCTCCCCCAACGCGCGCGGCACCAGGAGAACAACACCGATGAAGTTCAGCAGCCCTTCTTGGGCAGTGACTTCTGTGAACTGGGCTGCGAGGATCCTTTGCAGCCGCCCCCAGGCGAGCCAGTGTTGAAAGAGTATGGTGGGATGGTGGGTGAGATCAGGAGAGACCACTTATACATGCCTGGACATGATTGAGCTGAACCCCTAATCTATCATCCTCAATGGCCGCGGCTGGCAGGCTATAGCAAGGCCAATGGCTCTTGGGCCTGTGCAGATGGTTGGGCGGGCACCGTGCATTTGCAATGTGCCAGGGCTCCTCAGGGGAGCGAAGGTCAGTTCGGTTGGGCTGTGGACCGACGAAAGAAAGCTTTGTAAATTTCATAGTTGCTCCATGGGACTGCCTGATGTGCCAATCAGACCCCCTTTTCAACACCCGGTCAACTGATTTTCAACTGATTTTAGGTGTGTTTGTGTTTGCCAGTCCCAGACAGGTGGTGTTTGGAAACTTGGATCGGACGTTGACGGCGCCACACGTCCAACGTCGTAGGTTTTGACGTCCTGCCACTGTTCCCTAAGGATCAAAACGGACCCTCCGAACTGGAGGGTGACCTGACCCTGCAGGTTCCGCAGGGGGCCCTTGGACCCGAACCAAACCTTCACCGAACGGGTCGGGTCCTTGATCCTTAGGGTTGTGTTCTTTCTGTTCCGTTTCCAAGTGGGGAATGGTCCTGGGTGTCAGACTACCTGGTATGACACGGGTGTAGACCCAGGTGTGAGGTGTGTGGCCTGGTTTTGATCAGTGGTGTGGCATGGTGGTCAGGTGCCCCAAAGCCATCCCCTACAGGTCAACGACCTCATTTGACTGGACGTGGAAATGTATAAACACACTGGGTCAGACTGGACTTGTAGGGATCGGAAATCCACAATGGGAATCCTTGAAACCCTTTGGTTGTACGAACTGTGACAGCGAACTCCGATAAGACTTGGACATCCCTCTTCTCTCCCTCGATCTCTCGTGGATTTTCATAGAGAAATACGTCCGTGGGTTTGGACGTTCCGCTAAAAGAAACCGTGAAACCCGGATTCTCGCTTGTGGAGGCTGTTCGTCTGTGCTTTTACCACTAGAACTATCAAACACCAGAGTTATCTCAAGGAACCTTCCAAGGTGCTCTTGACAGACAGGCACGCGCCTGTCCCTCTTCCATGTGGGTTCTTCTGGAAGTTGGGACGTTGATTAAACCGAGGGAGTCCCCAGCACAGCCACCCTAGGTGCAACTGCACACGGACTGTAGGTACAAAATCGTACAAACAGAGCGTGGTTTTGCGGAGACAGGCCAGCCACCTGGGACATTTTGAACCCTTCGGAATTGGCTCATCCAAAAATCCGGAGCTTCCTTTACTTCCGCTCCGTGGAAGGGGGCGGGCTGATTTGACCAGACGAAACGCGACTCGCGTCTCTTCGCTCCGATTCGGGGAGCGAACGGGGGAAGACGAAACGCGGATCTGATCCGTGGGCGGGGACGATGCGAAGTGGTTTTTCAGCATCTTTTAGGTGGTGTCAGGAGGTCTATACTCGATCAAAAGGTCAGGATGTCTTCACGCCAGATGTTCGGAACGAGTCGTTGGAGGTGATGTTAATACCTTTGCCAAAGTCACGAGTCGTTGACGCTCCGATATGTTGTTCTATCTATTTGGATCCTCTTGGCGGCGATGGCAGGTCTTGAACGACACGGAGATCGTCAACGAGACCTGTGGGTCCTTCCTGCGCCTGGGCGACGGAGGTTGACCGTGGGAGAACTCGAACACAGAAGCCACAGGAGTACGGTACCCTCAACCGACCCTCTTCGGAGGTGTTGCAGTTGATGTTTGGGTATGGAGGGGTTGATTTATCAAGAGTCTATGGTCCCTACAGGTCAGTTGGACCTCTGACCTCATTTTTTTCATCGTTTGCGTCTACATGTCTGCATGATCGTTGACTTGTCTTTCTGGGTTTGTTGATCCGGAGGTCTTAACTTTGCCCGCGAGCTGACCACATGTCAACATGTCATGTGTCTTTCACCACGTCGTGTCTGCTTCACAGATGTCTCGTCGTTTCTTGGTCTCCAGATCAGTGACACATAGTGACACTCCAAGACCAGGCTCTCCTAGGGACACCCAAACACTCCAGGTCCATAGCATATCCAGTAGCATATCCCTAGGGATCCAGTCGTACCGAACCTCAGGTTTGGTACATCACAGTGCCTCCGTCCTCACCGTACCTGACGTTCGGTACGACTGGATCCCTATAGGGTATTTGCCTCATGGTTTCAGGGTTCAATAGTCTCTGGGCTATGCGGTTATGCGTGCTACTCGTCACGAGACCCGTCCCTGTAATTCATCCATTCGGCACACATGGCAGAACCGGGACATGGAACCACCGTCATGAGCCAGTCCATGTGTTTGATGATAGCTCCTAAAGGGGGGGGTACATAACAGGCTGTGAGGTCAAAAGTTGGAGCTCTAAATCCTGGTAGGTGTCAACCTCCCTATAGTGTTCCATCCTGTTCTTCTACTTCGCTATTATGTCCTCCCTATCGTCTCCCGGCGCTATGACCCGGTCGGGTTTTGCCGGTTGGATATGCCCAAACACCTGCGCTCCACCCTCGAAACCGTCTCAGTGCCGAACACATCACCGTACCTCTGAGGTTCGGTACGACTAACAAAGGATCCCAAGGAGTGATTTCAATATCTGGATCGCTCTCACCATCCAGTCACGTTCGACGGGGTGGATGTCTGTCCCATCCAGTGAGTGGATGTGACAGGGAGACCCCTATCCTCCATGGATAGCACCCCGTCTTGTGACTGCTGGTTGATCGCTCTCGTTCCGGACAGGTGGACACCGAAGTGTTCGTCCCATCGGCCCATCCGAGTCGCGTCCCGGTGGCGTCTCTTCCAGTCGACCACATACCTCGGACCGGAGTCGACCTGGGGCGCCAGTATTGATACCATTTGGCACCTGCTTTTCGAGAGGGATGGTCATATGTCCCATATGTATCCATATGTTATTTTTTGTGGTCTGTACTTATGTACAGCTCGAATCCAGGTATGATTCACTGACTTTCACGTACTGCGCCGCCGCGCCGTCAAGCGCGTCGAGGAACTTCAGCGGTTGCCTTCCCCTACAGCCCTGTGTGCGCCCTGCGAGCCTGGACGTGTGCGTCTACCAGGCGTGGAAGCAAGTGGTTCTCATTCCAAGATCAGGATGACGAACACGGTGTTTCTTTGATATTTAAGGATGGTGTGGTGCTACGGTGCTGTTCTTCTCAGTGAAGCGCAGGGGGACGTGTTCAAGCAGTCAGCTCTTTTTCAAGGACCTCACCTTCCTTCCACCATGCATGCGACTTATAGCCTCCTTTTGGACTGGCACCATTGAGGGTGTTCAAGGACCCTTGGTTCCTTGTGAAAGTGTGTCATCACCTTGTACCAAAGAAGCATCCAATCAAAGGAGAAGAGGAAGTATCGGTATCATGTCCCCTGTTCACATCCATGTTCGACGAGTCCGAACGAAGGCAGTCGGGTCCAGGTGGTTTCCTCCAGAACAGTGTTGAGTGAGAACTCAGTCAAACAGACGGAAGAGGTCAAACAGAACTCAGGAACTCAGGAACCGAACCGAGGACTCGTGTTCACCGAACTCGTGTGCAAGTTTGCTTCGTCAGCCAGGAGGCAAATGCATTGCAACTCCCACGTCTGGGAGGTAGAGCCGGTGGAGGTATCTGGTGGATCTTACCTTCTAAAAAGGCCTTCGAACGGGTTTCTTCCGGCCACCACTGGACCGGAGAGAGCAGGTGGGACGCCGATTGGCAGTTGTTTGATGTCAGGACCTTACTTCAAGTGGCGTCAAGACCATGCCGCATGCCTATAGTACCTTGTCTTCTGATGTGGTGTTTCATTGGCGGCCCGAACCACGGCGGAAGGTCTTCGCAAGGTTTTCTTCATTGGCGTTCTCCTGACACTGAATCTCCTACAGTGATCTTTTGATGGCATTCGCTGGGGGAGAATTGTTGTCAATTCTCATCATGGCCTATTTGCTGCACGCTTCTGTGGCCGACAATGTCGGTGCATTGGAGTTGGGATTGACCACATCCCATATCCTTGCCTTGACTGCAGTGACATATTTGGAGCAACTGTGGCAGGTTGTGATTGCCACTACATCCAAGATGTACAGCTACAGCCTCAAGGAGTACTTGGAGGATGAAGCTCATTTGTTTGTTTTGCCGTGAAAGCCGGGTCTTTGACATCGGTGCTACATGGCGAAAAAAGAAAAACACACTGCTGAAACTGAACACCAGCAACATGTAGGAACAATCATGTCAGGAACTGGTCTGTCGCTCGTGACGATGTAGACATGAGCACCTGGGACCTGTATGTAAATGGGTTTTGGTCCCCAGCAGCACGTGACAAAGCACGCGGTGTGCTGTAGTTTTGGTTATTTTTCTTTGGAAGATTGGTGTTTGTAAGTTGTAAGTATTATTTGTTCACTGAAAAAACAGACTCATATACAGTATACACTATACACTCCCTGTCATCATCATGGAAGTGGAAAACCACGGCTTTGGTATGCGGAAAATGGTCATCCTCTTGACGGTTCCCATGACGAAGCTTCCAGGGAGTGCTTCCAGACGAGTTCGTCTGGTGAAGACTGGAGATGTTCACGGTTCACTTCGGTGGGTCTGTCCCCGTTCTTTGAGGTTTCTGTATGTTATACTTGACCCCTGCTGAAGACCAACATGGACCCTAAAAATCACTGGGTTTGTAGACGAGAACTGTCTTTCAGGGTGCCATGTTCAGGCATTTTCGGGAGTGGAATGCTTCGAACACAAGTCCTAAAACCTCCAAACAAGTAAACAAAACATCACACGAAAACTACGCTAGCTACAAAACCGCGGTGATGAGGCGCCTTAAAACCAGCCTGCGCCTGCGACGGTCATCCTTTAATCCGTGTCCAGTTGGACCACGAGTTGCTGCCGGGCGCGATGGTCCCGGTGCGCTGTCACTATCCGCCCTTTAATCCAGAGGAGAAGCGAACCTGCTGGGTCTGGGGTTCGGTCGGGTTCGGAAACGTGGACCACGAAAGCCTAAGCCGAAGCTTTTTTGGGGGGAAAGTGGTTGTTTTCTCCACATAATATGAACGGATGGAAGAAGATTGATTAACCTTTATCTACGAGGGAACTTGAGTCAGTTGGGGTTGCAGTTTCTTGACCATGCGCAGACGTTGCTTGGGTTATTGATGAATCTTGGTTTTGTGTTGAAGTTTCCCCTGGAGTTCAGCTCATGAATTCAGACCATCATGTTTCTGGTAGGAGGTGTTATACCATTTGCATCCATTTGCAGCAGATAATTGCACGGTCGTTGATCTCAAATTCACTTTTTTTTTATATTACTGTATGGTTCCTTGCAGCAACGGTAATTTTCAGGGGGCAACAAATAACAACAATGTATACTGATATCACTATTAAGATATGTTTTTCGGGCATGCCGCAGTTTCATGGGAGGAACAAAATAACCTTGAGCCACTGCAACTCACATCATCCCCACATCTACCAGATGTTCAAGGTGATCCGGAGATCTAGTACTTATAGTAAGTATTGACTTGCGTTCCATTTGTCTATACCAGCAACTTCATGTCGGGGTCAGCTGGCTGCAAGCCCCAGCCCACTACTGTCCGGCATCTCCAGACAAGACACCACGAAAGAAGGTCCAGGTACCTCTAAGTAGGATGTGACACCCTAAGTTAAGTTGCTTGCTGGTAAACTTGTTCTCCAGTTTTCAGGAAAACATATCCTGGTATTCCTGGACCAAACCAAGAGACGACAAGCAAGCCGCGCTCTGCCGTGTGTTTCAAGAATGGGTGGGCCTGGGGCTGTTTTGAACTCGCAGAGCTAGAACTCTGAATTCTGAACCCAACTTTCAGATTGTTCAATCCTGAGAGCCTTTGTCAAACAAATAAGCAACAAATTGACACAGATTGCACAACATAACATGTGCCTTCCACAAATTACACTGCATCATACTACATTGCTGAGTTTTGAAAAAAGAACACACACACACACCCATTACCAATCCTTTTGGGTACCCTCCTTTCCACCGAAACCTGCGAGGACGTGGTGGAAGAAGGGCTTCTGTGTCCCGGGGACCGCGGGTGGAACAGAGCGGGCGAGTCGGGCGGTGGATTGATGCGTCTTGTGAAGCGGTGAAGCGGTGGAGGGTCCAAAGCCGGAGCTCGTTTTCACCCTGGTAGGTTCACCTTCCCTATGGGGTTCCAACCATCTCAGATTAGGTGGTTAGACCGCCCTGGCTCCTACCCCAAGCATCTTCGAAACGAAGGTGGTTGGAGTCCTAGGGAAGAGTCAATCCATTCAGTGGATTTTGGGTGGGACATACCACCTTCTTTCGCCCCATCGAAGCGAGCCAAGTTGCATGTACCGTTTCCCTTCTGCCAAGTGGCTGTTGCAGATGAGCAGCTTTACAGTGTAGTGGAGCTTCCCGAGCTATAGACATTCATTCATGGACCCTGAAAACCACTGCATTGTAGACAAAACAGTCTTTGAGGGTGCCATTCGACCCGGGTCCATGTGAGTTTTTCTGGAGTGTAGCAGCTTGAACGTCCAGAGTGATCACCTCGTTCCAGTCTCCTTTCGCCCATGAGTCCAATGAATGGCACACCAGGTGGCGTACATCCAGTCTACCCCTGTCTTCTGGTTGCCCGACTGAAACCCCCTCAGAAGTGTGGTCAGACCAGCGGTGCGGCCACCAACACCACCGGGCCGCCGCAGGGTGGTGTCTTTTTGCAGAACGAATGGCAGAAACGCCACATGTGGGCAGATCTGGAACCATTCTGACTGGCCTGCCATGGGGTGATATCACGGAGTTTTTTCGAGGTGGGCTCCTCTGGTCTCAGACAGTTTACAGTTCATTGCTAACAGCCTGTGTCACCGGCCCTAGGGATCCCAGCAGTACCGAACCTCAGGTACGGTGAGGACGGAGACATGGTGATGTGGGTGCCAGGAGGTTCCAACGATCCCTAGATCCTATATACCCTAAGTGGCCCATCTCCTCAGGTTCGGTGGTATTCGACCCCCCTGGCTCCCACCCCAAGCATCTTCGAAACGGAGGTAGTTGGAGCCCGAGATCCTACTTCCCAAATCGACTTCACCCATCGCTACTCAGCGGACAACCCCGCTGGTTTTTCCACCGTATGCACCACGTTGTCGCCGCGAAGGACAACGTGCAGGTGGGCCGCGAAGCTCAGATCTTGGCACTGCCCAGTTGCGAGGTCTTTTGCCCAAGCCCTCCACCACCACCAGGCGGAAGCCCACGGCGGATCCGCCGAGTGGACGCCCACGGCGGGGATGGGATGGGCGGATGCAGATGCGGCAGGGAGTGTGGCGGAGAAGCGAAGGGCTGCGGATGGGCTGTGGATGGGCGGACAGAGAGCAGGTGGAGGGAGTGGGAGACTTTTGATGGCGGTGGTTTCATATCGATATTGTTTGTGTTTTCTTTTTCAACCTTTACTTGAGATGTTTGAACCCAAGGCGTTTTGTTGGGTCAGTTGAGATTGTGTGCAAACCATGGTCAAAAGCCACGCTTGCTTCCGAGCTGCGAGGCTATGTGAAGTTGCACGACTTGTTGAGCTTTGGAGAGAATGACACTGGTGTGGAGATCAACAGGCGAAGACGCGGAAGGTGGTGATCAACGGGCGCGGCCACTCCATGGTTAGCTGTGAATCCGGAGCTTCCAAGTACCTTGGAAAATGGGACATGAAATGACATGAACCTATGAAAAAAAGAGCAGGTAGTACCAGGAGTCACAAAGGGGTGGTTTTGAGTCCGTAAGTGAGTGGATGTTCTGGGGACCCCTATCCTCCATTAAGCACCCCTTTGTGACTGCTGGTATATACACTTACTTGATCTTACTTGTACCATCGTGTATACTGTATACCCATGTTCCAAGGTATATACATACAGGTCGACTCCAGGTATACGCGTTGTTGGAAGCGAGTTCAGGCGAGTTCCAAGTTCAGGCTAATTTGTCCGCTATGGTTTAGTTCATATGTGGCCAGCACCTCTTCCACCAATCTCCAGGGGAGGAATCTCTTCAGCCATGACACAGGGGTGAACCACCCAGGTGCCACCCACTGCCATCTCTACGCATCTAGCTGGCCATCCAGGACCATCCAGGACCATCCGACCCCAATCATTCCCAAACTTAGTCAGGAAAAGCCGGTCACCTGCCCGGCTGCCTTGCCTTTTTGGGGGGTTGGACACCCCAGAGACGTCAGAACAGGCGGACAGTTTGGTTAACTTTATAAAAAACTTTCATTGGAAAGAACCTGTTTTCAAAATTTAAAAAAAAGTCAAAAAAAAGTCAAAAAAAAGTCAATCCCAAAAGTCAAAGTCAAAAAAAAAGTCAAATCCAGAAAAACAAGAAAGTCAAAAAAAAGTCAAAAAAAAGTCAACAAAAAGTCAACAGTCAAAAAAAAGTCAAAAAAAAAGTCAAAAAAAGTCAAAAAACCTTGTATAGGTAAACAAGTCAAGGAAAAGCTAGAATCAAGTCTTGAATCAAGTAACAAGGTAACAAGGAGAAAGAACAAGTCAAAAAGTCAACAAGCACACAGAAAGCAAATGCTGGGATAAGGGCCCAAATGTCCCTGAATCACAAGAGCACAAAAACCTTTTTGCATACTTACTATTACCATTACTATACAGAAATTGCCATGCCCTGTCAGTAGTAATGGCGCAAAAACCCTTTGAGTCCTTCAAGCAAAATGTTCAAACAAAGCAAGTAACATCAACAGCATGCTGTCACAAGTCCAAATGAACTGTTTGCAAGGCCAAGCCCAAGGCCAAAGAGATAAGTAACGGTAACGCAGCAAACCAACCAGGAGCAACAAAGAAGAACATGAAGCAAAGCAAACAGGGCATAAGAGGGCAAACACACAAGCAAGGCAAGCAGAGCAAACAAGCAGACCAGGCAAAAGACAGAATAGAATCATGGAAAAAGGTAATGTGCTGCCCTGCCCAAGCCACACCCACAGCCCCAGCAATAATGAGTACAAAGGACAATGAATTGTCAACCTTTTCGAGTCACAAATAATTCATTCAAACTCTAGACTCTAAACTAAACCAGACCTGTTCTGGGCGTTCATCAAACATATGCCTACGCCACAAACGCGTTTACTGAACCACGTAACATGGCACCACAAACCGCACGCAATTTTAACGTAATAGTGAGTGTTCAAGTATGATTGCGACGACTTGACTAGGGCTACAGCGGCTGACAAGCACTGCACGCACACACACAAAAAGCACTTTACATACTTTCATTCAAACGTAGGATCTAAATTTTAAAGACCTGTCCGAAGGAGACATGACCTATTGGGGCATGGCATAGTCACTAGTCACTAGTCACTAATCACTTGGTAGTGACAGTGGGACCAATTCATTGCCGTCACAAAGGTTCACCATTATCCATAAATGTACTTCCCACTCATTTTGTGCTGCTGTAGTGGTTTGTTTGGCGCACAGCATGACTGCTTCAGCTTCTGTCCTTGCCACATGACATGCTGAGGCCAAGTCATTTGCAAATTGTGAAAGCTCAAGCTAGGTTAGGCCCTACTAGGGCTGGGGTGTGGGTCCCTACAGAGGTAGGACTTTCACTCCGCTTCGGGGCCTTCTAACGCCCATGGGTTGGTCTACTGTGGATGCTTTTTTTTTGAAGAAGTCAGAAGCCTCAGCTAAATCAATTGAAGATGCCGAAGCTGTTCGTCTTGATGACGACGATGGTGATGATGTTGTGGAGGTGGGTTGCCAGAACCCTCTGCAGAAGGCAGAGGGGCACTCAGGCCAATCCTCTGGCTCGGAGATCGACGGTGGTGGGAGCTTGTGGTGGGTAGACCTGTTGAGGCAGCACACCTCCCATTTGCCAAAAGCAAAGGCCAAAGAGACTGGAGAAGAGTGGTCTGTGGTTTCTGCTTGCAGCGGCCTGCTCGCAGAGGGGTTTGTGTTGCAGGCGAATCTGAGGGAGCAGGGAGGGGTTCATGTCTGGCCCTGGGCCGGAATAGGAATCCCCACGCCGCAATAAGAATAGGTGCTAACCGACCGCCATACCCATAACCGTGAACCGTAACCCCAATACTGCTACCACTACCAGTACTGGGACGGTTGACTGTTTGTATGTTATGTCAACTCTAATCTAGACTCTAGACTCTAGACTGTGGGACTCCAAATTTTCACAGCTCCACTTTCCTAGAAAGTGGACCGTCAATGAACAATTCTTGATTCTTGATCCTTGATTGTTTTTCTGGTGCTGTTAGGTTCGGTTCTGTCCGTTAGGACTTTTAGGGGGTTCGGTTGGGAGTCAGCAGTCCATGGGCACCATAGCAACGTAGGTCCATATAGTATATATAGGTCCGGTCCATAGTATGCCATAGTAATGCCATAGTACATAGGTCCATAGGTCCCCATAGGTCATAGGTCGCGTCCAGCCCTTGTCATTGTTGGGCCCAATGCGACAGGATATGGACATATGGACTGTGTAGCATAGCAGCGTAGCAGAGCAAATTTTCGGGGTCAAGAAGAGGTGTGGCCAACAGTCAGGCACAGATGCTGTGCTACAGTGCGCAGTGGCTAGCTAGCTAGCTAGCTAGCTAGCTGCTGTAGTTATAGTAACATATGGCTGTATAGCTGCTAGATTGCTAGGGCTGCTAGGGCCTACGGCAGGCCACTAGGCCCAGGGTGCTACTAAGCAGGCTGCTAAATTTTCCGAATTTTGGTACATTTCCTCATTTTCATGCCTCAGGTAGTTGAAACCTGTCCCTGAGGCCTTGGAGATCCCGCATCACTTCGTTTCGGTTTCGGACACAGACACAAAGAGCCAGGATTTCATGAGGGCAAACTTCATGATGGGCCACCGTCATGCATCACTCCAGGACCAGGCTGAAGGGGCGCCCTGTCTGGAGCATCCAGATGGAACAGGCTGCCAGTGCTTCAGCCCTTTCCTAGGCGTAGTAGGAACCTCCTGCAAACCATACTCAATGCAACGAGTCAAAAGATTTGTGGAAGGGTCTGTCAAAGACCATAGGGATCATGAGTTGACCCAACGCGATCTTGTCAGCTGGCTTGAGACCATATCGCCGTGTGTGGCAATTACTGAGAATGTGGAGGGATGGGACATGCCTGAACACCCTGGTGACAAGAGCACTCCTCTTCAAAGGCGGGGCCACAATTTGTAGCCGTAGCCAACAGCAGTGTTTCAAGTTGCTGTGACTTTGCACTTTGACTTCGGACGTTGGACACCGAGTTTCGACAAGTCGCTTGCAATGCAGCTCTTTCTTTCTTCAATCTGTTTTTCTTCAATGGCTTGGTGCTATTCCTTACTTTCATGGAGGAGCACAAGGCTCTGCAGTGGGCGCACACCAATGGCCAGGTCGAGTATCACAAGTTGAACTCTCTGTGCTCGGAGGGTCTGATCTGGCATGCTCTTACCCACCGGGTCAAGGGAACTCGCAATGCAATTCTGTCCCAGGTCAATGAGGAGATTGCGGCTGAGGTGGTGCGCACAGAGTACATCCACCCAACCCTCTTGGCCAAGGCTCAGGAGAGGTTGGGCTGAAGGACTTTGAGAGTGGCAACAGGGCAAAACGGTAAGGCCAAGGCTTCTTGAGTGAGTGAGTGAGGCCCCACAGCTCCACTCCCTGCCGTTGCAAAGCAGGCAGACGCTGGAACGTAGGACTGCGGTGTAGGAATCGCAGGACGCAATGACTGAGTTGAAGATCCGCTGCTGGTGAAGATCCGCTCACCGCTTTTGTTGACACACCCCAGGTAGATCTAGTGTAACTAGTGACGTGACTGTGGTGACATTCTTTGTCGTCGCCATGCCATAGCCGCAGCCACAGCCATAGTCATAGTTTTACTCAGGTGTTTTGGTGTGAGTGGGTTTTTGCAGTGGCAAGGACCAAGGACATGGCGAGGGTTCGGCCTTTGCAGGAATGACGTGTGATATGTCTCAAGTAGCCTGGGCCTGGTAGTAGGCACGACAGAACCCCACTTGTTGGTTCACAAAGAATCCTCGCACGCTGGATTGGTAATTTTCCATTTTTTGAGTTCCAGCTCATTTTGGCCTGAAATCGCTCTGGGTCACTGGCAGGCCACTGGCACAAAGCTGTGATGAAAGCGACTGCTTTCACAGTGTTCACTGGGACCATGAAGTTGTTTGGTCATGAGATGTCATGAGTTATACTCGCACTCATATAGCTGTCATGGCTACTAAGATTTATTGTATTATACTATATTACTATATTTTATTTACTATATTGCTGGAGGCCCTAGGCCTAGACCCAGACTTAGATCTGAGCGACGCTGACCGTGGACGTTGGCAAGAGTCAAAAACCAAAGTGTGTGTATGGCTTCTATGGCAGCTATGGCTGCTATGGCAGCTATGGCAGCTATGACCATTTGTTTGCTGTGGAGGCCAAGTTGTGCAGGATGGTGGGATCGGTTCGGACTCGACGTACCTTTAGAAACTTTACTAGCTTGTGTGACCGTGACTATAGAAGATATGGACTGTAGGAACCTTACCCTGGATACATTGACCTGAATAGAGGTGTATTGATTTATGACTCCTGTGCGCTCTTCCTCTCTCTCTCTCTCGTTTTGCTTCACGTCTCTCTTCATATTCGATTTTGCCTGTGCCACTTCATTTCATGGAGTCTTCTCATCCCCTCTCATCTCCTTTCACTGTTCTTTCAAGCTTTTTGCCTCTCCGTTGCACTTGCAAAACACATCACTATCCAACTGTCATGTTCTTGGCGCAGGCTCTTGTTGTCCCTGCGCCATGCCACGCAATGCCGCTTAAACTCCATGTTGTTCTCCTTACTATTTGCTTGCTCTGACTTATGAGTTTGTTACTAGTTTAGTTCAATGTTGTTGTCCTCTTTGCCTGTGTATTCCATAATATATATGCCGGCTTTCTTTTGCTCCTGAGTCGCTTGACTGGACATTTTTGTGTTTTTTTTTT